ATTGTCAAAAATTACTTTCATTTGTTCTATGTATGTCCAAAAGATTAATTCGCTGTAGACAGGATTCGAACGTGTGTGGGAATAACCCATTGGATTTCGAGTCCAACGCCTTAACCACTCGGCCACCACAGCCATGAAGGGAAGCTACATATCTTAGAAATTAGAACTTACAGTTTCTATACAGTTTATGCAAAAGTAGGTATAGAGTAAGGAACAAAACGTATTGTATTGATTATAGAAACATAATAAAGATATGAATAATAAACACATCAATCCCCCAAATGTTCGGACTCTTTGCTCTCGCCATTCCCACACTCCTCGAGAGTAGACACTAATGGACACTCTGGCACAAAAGTTTGTATCAGCATCAATTTCCTGACAAGCCTCCTGTATGAATTGAATCCTGGCATCAACAGAACGTGGCTTGCTTGCGAAAACCCTATCATTTACACATCCCCAGAAAAAGAAGTCCATAGAGGGTGAGATTTGGCGAACGTGGTGATTTGTCGTAGGTTCCACGACGTCCAGTCCAACTTTTTGGGAATTCTTTGTCAGCTTTTTCACGCACAGTGAAGGTGAAATACGGTTGAACCACACCCTACTTAAAGTTGATATCGTCCTGTTACAGTTCACGTACCTATACTTATTGTATACCTACATATTGTTATAAAATAAAATAAGACATATCTCGGCTGATTTACAGGCAAATAAACTAACATACTCAAGAGCGAGAGCCGGATGTGAACGGGACAAGGCCCCGTCACAAAATGACCATTATCTTCGTTTACGCATGTTTCCGACGCACGAGTTCCGGTCGAAAAATAAAATAATATTTCAAAGTGTTTCTATTTTTTTACCAATAAAAATGCTTCCCTCCTAATTATACTCGCGTCGTTTTTCGAGCCTGTTAAGCCATAAAAGGGGTCACAGGGAAGTACAACAGCAGTCAACAGGAGGCCAGGGAAGAGATCTGTCACGGCCAGGCTGAGCGGTCAGCAGCAGCCAGCAGCAGTAGCGCCACGCCAACCAACGAGAACTACTATGAGAGATCAACCCAGATCTTCAGCCGGCCTATGAACTATACCACAAGGTAGCTGTCCCCAAAACACACGTTCCTATTGAAATAAATCACGTAAATCTATTTCTACTGTTGTCGTATTCCTTTCTTGCAACCATACGCTTGTCTATAACAATATGCAGACCCCTGTATAGCTCAAGGAACGGAAACTGCTGACAAGATCTTAAATTTTTCATGGTAATCGAATCATAGCCTATGAGGCAAATTTCGTGAATGCCACAAGGAATCTTCCCTGATAGCTTATTTTGTTAGATAACCGAAAGCATTGCCTTGTTTTGTTTGTTTTTTTTCTGTGTTTTGTTTTGTTTGATTAACGGCATATCAACTTCTTTGGGTCATTTAATGCCGAAATTTATTTTTCTTGGGAACATTAGTAATTTCTTTTACAAAAGTATATTATTGGTACTATCTTTTCTATATATAAGAATGTATTGCTGTTTTTTTTTTACTATGAAAATATATTACTGGCATTATCAATATAAAATGTATTTCTACACGTTCATAGTGTTTTGACACTAGTTTGGGTGTTCACTATATGCCCGTAGCTGGAATCCTAACAGGTCTTACTACCCCCGTTCAGGGTGGACCTGGGAACAACAGCAATTAAAAGATGGTTCGACCCATCTCAAAACCTCCTGATCAGAGGCCTTGCTGCTGGATGTATTATGAAGCATTACGTAATCAAGGGAAAATATTTACTATTACGGCAATTGACCGAAGATAACCCAATATCCATAAATATATAGAAATATAACGGGTACAACAGCAAATCGTGTTGCAGCATAATTGTCGATCCCTCAAAATGTTTAATATAAAAAAAACACTAAACTGAGTTTCTTTTTTTCAGGTTTTCAGATAAGACGCCATTTGTTGTAAGAATCATCAAAATATCCTTTACTTATTCAGCTGGAAAGAGAACAGGTTAAAATCGTTTTGCGTCAACACCACTGCCTTCCTAAGTGAGCAATGATGAGAGGAAAAGGATCACCCAGGCCTTCACTAATTGTACAAAAATTCATACTCTGGCTACCATTTTCAAAGTCCATTCAAGAACCATCAAGAGAATGGTGAATAAGTTTAAAAAGAGGGAACAGTAGAAAGGAAAAATTGATCAGGATGTCACAACAGGAAGAGGCAACATCATTTCAACTTAGAGCTAAATAAATTCTTATCTTTCAAAGTAAAGTCTAATAGTGTTATAAAAAGCTCGGAGAATTCCAGTAAAATATCTTTAATCATTTCTAAGATACAACGTTTTCAAACTTAATCCAACAATTGGACAATTTTGCTGTTATAAGATTTGGACAATTTTGCTGTTACACGATTTGGACAATGTTCCTGTTACACGCAATAAATTCGTTCGTTTTTTTTTACATAAATTCGTTCGTTTTTTATCATTTATTTTAATACTTATTATTTATTAAGAGATGTGATGAATCATTCAACAATGTATTCCCTTTCATTATTTACGACCTCCTGCCAATCATCCACTAAATATTCAATACTTCGACGATAGAAATCAATAGGTTTTGATTCGAAAAATTCAGAAAATTCTCCAAATCGTGTTGCAGCATAATTGTCGATCCCACAAAATGTTTAATATAAAAAAAACACTAAACTGAGTTTCTTTTTTCCAGGTTTGCAGATAAGACGCCATTTGTTGTAAGAATCACCGCAAAATCCTTTATTTATTCAGCTGGAAAGAGTACAGGTTAAAATCGTTTTGTGTCAGCCCCACTGTCTTCCCAACTGAGCAATGATGAGAGGAAAAATCACTCAGGACTTCAGTAATGGTATCGACATTTATACCCTGGCTTCCATCTTTAAAGTTCATTCAAGAACCATCAAGAGAACGGTGAATAAGTTTAAAAAGAAGGGAACAGTGCAGAGGAAAACTGGATTAGGATGGCTCATCAGGAAGCGGGATCATCATTTCAACTTAGAGCTAAGGAGATCAATTAGAAAAGATCCAACTCAATCCATAAGACGTTTGGTACGCGAGAGAGGAGTTTCAGCTATGACAGTCCAAAGAGCAATGAAAAAAGACTTGAAAATGAAATCGTACGTGAAACATGTGAGCCACCGTGTTACTCCAGGACAGAAAGACGGTTAGAGAGGGTGAGGATCAGCTAGAATAAGTTTGGAAATGATCTTGGAATAATGTATATATATTTGAACTTTATTTTAATCCTTCACGAGTTTTCGATCCTTATCTATGATTAATTAATGATGATCATGTCATTTTCGTTTATGATCGATTTCATCACGATTCTTCCGCTAAGCTTAGAGAGTAATTATACATTCTTATTGCTCAAAGTAGAGTGCAATAGTGTTATAAAAACCTCGGAGAACTCCAGTAAGATATCTTTAATCATTTGTAAAATACAACGGTTCAAAGTTTAATCTAACACTTGGACAATTTTGTTGTTACACGGTTTGGTCAATTTTGCTGTTACACGATTTGAACAATGTTTGCTGTTACTCCCGATGCATATTTATGCAGACGCAAATATAGCGAAAAATGTACACTATTTGTCCAAATCCTTTCGTTCATCTGACCATCCTTCCTTGTATTCACTGCCTGTCGGTGTGGACAACATTATGTATGATTACTCTCCAACTGGATCATCCATAGTTATTTACCAAAACCTCATCACTAAGGCGAGACGTGACAAAAGGTCTTTTTTTACGTGGGGTGCACATACTCATGAATATGCATATGGGTCACGTGTCAAAATTGACCAGTTCCCTCGACCAGTCTCACGCTGGCATCAATATTACATCGACCCCACCTCTTTTAGTGCAACGAGGAATATGCTGGACTGGGCGCCTTCTCCCATATCAAATGATGGTAGAACAGTTACCTCGCTTTTATCAAGATCAAAAGGTCGAGAAGGTATTTACCTGGGCTCATCACTAAGGTAAAATGTGACAAGAAGATCTTTTTTTTATATGTGGGGTGCCCATAGGCATGAATATGCATATGGACCAACGACAAAAACAGCCAGGAGTAACTAGATCAAGGTCATATGTCGTATAGAATGGCGCCAAAAAATGAATGTCTCACTGTCATGATGCAATATAATCTTTTCTGATTCATTTCCGTGCATAAATGAAGACCCTATCTGCTGATTCTTCGTTCTTTTTAACTGTCTGCTTAGATTTCAGTCTTACAGCCGTTCCTTGAAAATTTATAACTTTACTTTGGCTTCGTTAATTACAAATATGCATGTTGGTCAGTATATGGCTTTTCTAAAGTAGAAGCCGGAGTTGCTAACATTGGTTTTCTATCTGATTCATTAAAATTTGTTGACAATTTTCAACCGACAATTTGAAAGATCGCGAAAACTCTGCGCCTTGCGTCAGCGTCTTTAATATCGCCAGATAAATACCGAATAATACTTCGTCCTGGGTATAACGATAAACTACATCTGGCAGCAGGTTGGGAGGTTGCTGTTGTTCCCAGGTCCACACTGACCAGGTGTGGTGGCACCTGTTAGGGTCCTAGCTATGGGTAAATCGTGAATTCCCAAACTGGGGTCAGAACATTATGAAAGTATAAAAATACATATTTATAGTAAGAATATCTGCAATACATTTTCATAGCAAAAAATCTTACCAGCAATGCATTGGAAAAGGAAGAGAAAATTAAATTTCGGCATTAAATGACCCATAAGTTGTTGACATGTCGTTAAACAAGCCAAAACAAGCCGAATAACAATAAAATATTTTCAAATATTCTTTAACGTCTGGTTCAATGAAAAACTATAGAAATAATCATTTAATCTTTCAGGAATACAGGCTTACGGCCATATCACGTTGATAACCGAAGTTAAGCAACTCCGAACCTGGTCAGTATCTAGATGGGTAACCGCTCGGGAATACCAGGGGCTGTAAACTTGGATGTGTCGTGCGGTATGGCTTACGGCCATATCATGTTGAGAACTGGTTCTGATACGATCAGAAATGTTAAGCAACTCCGAGCCTAGTCAGTACCAAAATGGGTGACCACTTGGGAATACCAGCTGCTGTAAGCTTGGATGTGTAAAGTGATAAGGCTTACGGCCATATCATGTTGAGAACTGGTTCTCATACGATCAGAAATGTTAAGCAACTCCGAGCCTGGTCAGTACCAAAATGGGTGACCACTTGGGAATACCAGGTGCTGTAAGCTTGGATGTGTAGGGTGGTATGGCTTACGGCCATATCATGTTCATAAGCGAAGTTGAGCAACTCCGAGCCTGGTCAATACCTAGATGGGTAACCGCTCGGGAATACCAGGGGCTGTAAGCTTGGACGTGTGGTATGGCTTACGGCCATATCACATTGAAACACCGGTTCTCGTACGATCACCGAAGTTAAGCAACGTCCAGTCTGGCTAGTACTTAGATTAGTGAACATTTGGAAACAGTAGGTGCTGTAAGCTTGGATGTGCGAGTGATGTAATGGATAAATTAAGCTATAAGTTACTCGGAGAGCCGCTTTTCAATTGCAATCGTTCGTAATATGCACTTGCGTACAAATACCCTTGGGAAAGGTATGGTGACTTTCTAAGCTTTGCTTAAACGTGGCACAAGGTCGGAAGTATGGGGCACCCAGTGAGGATCGGACTCACTATTCAGTCGTAAACGATCTAGCGAAACAAGCTTGCTAACCTTTCTTTTTTTTGTGATGTCAACGAACACTCATTTGACACTTTTGTAATGTCAACGAATACTCGTTGTCACTTTCGTAACGCTCGTTGTAGTAGAGACTTTGTAATCGCAGATACAACTATAGTACGCCGTTGAACAATACTGGTGTCAGACGCCTTCGAATAACACTCGTACTAATAGTACTTGCTCGATAATACTCGATCGAATAGTAATTCATATAGTGATCCGAAAAGAGAAATAGTATAGTGAATAAAGTAGAGAATAGCGGTCCGTATAGTAAAAGAGGATAGAATAGAAATGCCAATCCGTATAGTATATAGGATAGGCTAGAAATAGCGATCGTTAGTGATCAGTTACTTCTTACATATATGCGTTTCCTCTATGGTCACGTGGTCTACTTAATTCAATAATGGGATCGCCTGCGTTTGCTCACTGGCGATCTATGTTCAAACTCAAGTGTTGGCAGCGACACATTATTCCTATATAAAACCTTTAGACCGCAATATTGAAAAAATATTTTTTATCTCATTTAAAACAAAAACGTATCATATCAGTCCATTTCACTTATTTCTAGCTTTTCCCAAAGCTAAAATTGCCATTGACTGGTCAAGGACATGATTAAGGAAGACTAGATTAAGGCGGACAAGATTAAAGTGAGCAAGATTAAAGAGGACAAGATTAAGGCGAACGAGCTAATGGCGATCCCTTTAAAGATAATTTTGTAGATTGTTTTCCAAAATATCCAAAGAAAAAAGTATTTGGCACATGTAAATGTACCCAGCGTCTCCTTATTTTGTAAACTAAAAACTGAATATAAATGAGAAGACTATTTGTACTAATGGAGATTGCTCGACAATTTCACACATAGAAGTAAATATCACAAGCGAGAAATCCGACATTTTGAATATATTAACAATTATCAAATCCTTTTTCGGTATTTCAAGTGTTGTTTAAACTATTCAAATCTTTCTTATTAATTTTCATAATGCCACAACTTTTCAGTTAGTTGATTTGTGTTGTTGATTTTGTTTAGCGGCATATTGACCTCTGTGGATTATTTAATGTCAAAATCTAAACAATTTGAACACAAGTTTATGGCTTCAGCTAAATATATTTTGAACGTAATTGTTCTTCAACTACAGTATTGTTGATTATTTTGCTATAAAATGTATTCTTGGTAATCCTACTATAAAATGTATTGTTGGTCATTTGGCTCTAAAATGTATTGTTGGTAATTTTACTATAAAAAGTCTTTTTATATTTTCATAGTTTTGTCTTTGTTTTTACTTTGTTTTTTGGTGTATTTTTATTATCGGGACATGAACAGACTGCTATTGCACAACGGTTTGGTTTGCTTTGTTTTGTATAACGACATATCGACTTTTTATGGCTCATTTAATGCCGAAATATAATTTCCTAGTGAGCTTTAGTAATTTTTTTTTCTATTCTATCGCTGCAAATATTTACTATAAAAATGTATTTTTTAAACTTTCCTAGTGTTTTGGACCCTCGTTTGGTGGTTCACTATAAAAACCAGAAAATGGTAGAATTGGTAGTAACAAAAGCAACCAATTCAATCGGATGATAATTACAGGATCAAAAATAGCAAGAATAAAAAATATATTATTCTGTTATTTTTTTTAAACCGAAAATGGTACTACATTGGCTTGCGATCTACGTGTCATGAATCTACTTTGGTATGCGATCTACACTCCAGATATTTAACATTTTTAGCCGATGTACGTGTATCGCTAGAAATTGTTTTAATATTTTTATTACATTTTCTAAATGTGTTATTAACTTTTAGTACGTAGATCTCTTCTTTAAGTGCCATGCGTGATACACGCTTAGGCGATCATCTATCTTTCGATACATTACTGATGAGGCAGATTTTTCCCGCAGTAGGTTGCCACTTCTTTCTGCAGTAGACCAGTTGCCATCCAAGGCTATAGAAACTGGGTTGTCCTGCTATTTACCCTTAGCTGGGGGGAGAATAAGAGGATTAATACCTTTCCCAAGGGTGTTGGAACATAAGTGAATATAATGGATTCGACATGAATTCGAACTCGGATCTCCAATTCCTCAATCCAAGCCGCTATCCATTACTCCACCGTGCCAAAAATTGCACGGTGTAGACATTTTAGTCGGTGTACATGCTGTTTATCGATAGAATATAAATAAAAGAAAACTTTTTAATATTTTAATTATCTAATTTTACATTATCTTTATATATATATATATATATACATATATATGTTATAACATGTAGACATCATTCCAAAATAATATATTCCTTGTAGATAACGAGTCAAAGTAGATATTTCGTCCTTGTAGATAAAATTCCAAATTAGCAGCGAAAAAAGAACCGTATATACTTGCGTATAAGCCTACTTCTTGTATATAAAAAAGCGACCCTAGATTCTTTGTGAAAAACCTGACTTTTTTCATATGGCCCGTGTATACAGGTTTATTAAAAAAGAATGAACCGATTTCATTATGTAATATTTTCATAAGGAAAGCAATAGAAAACTCCAGCCAAGTCATAAGTATTCTACTCATAATCGACTTTTATTTCCTGTATTACAAGTGTTCAATGTGGCCATCACCTACAGCACGGACAACATCAATGCGATAACAGAATTCCTCGTAGACGCGTATTAGAATATCACGACCTACTGAGTTGATCGCTGTTGTTATTCGATGCTTAGGGTGATCGAGGTTAGTAGGTAGCGGTGGAACATAAACACCATCTTTTACGTATATCCACAAGAAAAAATCCCACACGGTGAGGTTTGGGGGTCTCGCACGCCAAGCATAACGAGCAACGTCTTGGTAAGTGCGTAAACGAAGCGTAGTCTGTAAGGTTTCAAATCTAGACACAGCACACGCCAGATAGTGGGTTGAGAGATCGCAAGCTCACGGCTAACTCGATTTGTGGCCTTTCGTGGATTCCCCTCAAACGCAGCACGAATTCTCACCACTTGTTCCTCCGAAACTAATGGTGAGACTGAACTTTTTCCTTTACACAGACACCCAATCTCTTGAAACTGTTTAAGTCATCGTCGAATGTTCTTAGGAGAGGGTGGATTAATGTCGAATTGCCTTCGAAAAGCACGCTGCACTGTGACAACCGTATTTGTTTTTGCGAACTCGAGAAGGCAGAACGGCATTTGCTCAGGTCTCGCCATTCCGGCGGTCAACTAACAACTAAACGTTGCCGGAGATACGACGCGACTACAGCGACCCTGTGGCAGCCTTGCAAAACTTAGAAAATTCCTCTTTCAAATGGTCACTGACTTATTCTATGATGATGCTTGAGAACTGAAGTAATGCGCCATGAAATCAGTTCATTCTTTTTTAATGACCCTGTATTTCGGCCCCAACTTCTGAGTAATACTAGTAGACCTACCGTAGTCAAATATTGCAGTATTTGGGCATCATGCTGGACAGATAGTAAATAAATGGTCTTTGTTCTTTTTTGTACAAAGCTACAACGAAATGGTCTGAAAAACGACCTACCGTAAAACATCTGATACGAAGATTTAGATACCGTACTTTTGTTTTCGTTCATACCTGACCTTTGCCCTCTTCAAAAAAACTACCTGTGTATAGTGCGATCCCCTATTTTTTGGCGTGAAAAAGCTGATCATATATATATATATATATATATATATATATATATATATATATATATATATATATATATATATATATATATATATATATATATATATATATATATATATATGAATGTATGAGAGAAAATCATGAAGAATTGTGGCTTAAAAAAAGTAAAATCAACCTGACTAACTGAAATTTCTCTGTGGCCCAATCAGTAAAAGCACGTCAGGCTATATGACGGTTCCGTATAGGATACAGGTTCGATTCGTGTCGATGGATGCATGTTTTCTATGAAAATTTCTCGGACATTCATGGCGGTAAATGTTGTTAATACTGTTTATTATAAACAGAGCATTTATTTAAATACTTAAAAAAAATGATTTTCAAAATGCTTTTTCATCATTGGACGCAGTTGTGGGTCTCTCGAAAATAGCGTCTTTTTGTGAATGTAAAGAAAGAAAAATTCAAATTGTAAAACAAGGACCACAACAAAAGAAAGAAAAAAGTCACGCGTTCGTCCACGCTCTACAAGAAAAGATGCCAAAGAAAAAGGTTAAGAAAAAAGTGAGAAAAAATAAGTATAAAATTAGGTCTGAAAATGAAAAACCATTTTCTTTTCACTTTTCTGATTTCATGTTTGTTTTGTTTTTGTTTTTTTATTACTTTCTTTAAAAAAAAGGAAAGAAAGAGAGGAAGAATGCGAAGATAAAGTCGAAAATGTAAAAAGAAAAAGTCGGATTGTTGTTTGAATTGTGTGAAGCCGCTCTCTTTGTAAATCTCTTTATTTGTACCATGAAAATAAACAAGGTTTAATGGGATATGCATGCGTACTGGTACGTGCACAGCCCAATAATGAAAATAGTATTTCTTTTATAGCATCACATACTTACACACACACACACACACACATATATATATAGAGAGAGAGAGAGAGAGAAAGAGAGAGAGAGGGAGAGTCAGTGAGAGATAGCTAGATAGGGTGTCCCCAAAAATACTTTCTGACTTCGTTATTAATTTCAGTTAATAATTAATTTAAACTGTTAATCTTCTTTGAAAGTCAATAAACATTAATATTTCTTAATTTTAACAATTAATCCAGTTTGCAAGTCAATAAAACTCCATTTAGTGTCATTTAAAGAGTTAGTACA